GCCAAAAACGTAATCCAACACGACACGCAAAAACAACTTCTCGTCAAAATGTGTTTCTTTTCTCCTATGTGTTTCATAAGCGAAAAAACAAACAAGAAAACCAAAACCCGAAGCCATGTATCAAAATTCTCCAACAACTGCCACGCCACGAAGAAGGCGACGGGGGGGGGAGGGGGCGACCATCCCTGTTCTGACCAGAAAGAACCAGGGAGGTCTTACCTCAATAGCTTCCTGATGAAACCGAAGCTGACCGTGCATCGTCGAACATCCGTTGACACTTGACATCCACTCCGCCAATCAACGCTGGCCAAGAACACCTACCTAGACGAAGCATAGACATAAGCTAGACCTAAGACCTGGCCCTTACCAAAGCTCCACATGTCCTCCACAAAACGCTAATCAGCATTGTCGGAACAAGGACATGAAGGAGACATCTTATTCCATGACATCGATGACACCATCATCTCAGCCACTAGCAACCGAACATCTAGATTGACCCATACCCAAAACTAGGACGACCCAAACATGGCCAATCTCGAACCGGGGTCACCAAACCTCGTCGACGTTAGAAGGCACCGAGAGGCAAGAGGGGGACCAGCGGATGCGGCATTTACATGAAAACCCTTACCACCTTTCTTTCTAAAGAGGTAGAAGACGAGAGATAATTCAATGCATATTTCTTTTGTTGCTTTTTACATGTGTCGGATCACGACATGTCTATCCAGAAAAAAATAGCAAAAGTATCAAAAAATCGCCTTGTGACTAAGAGCATCTCCAACCGCACAAAAATTTTGCGCCCAATAAAAGTGATAGTGCACCACTGTAGCACTTTTAATGCGCCGGGAACAACATTGCTTTAGCAGAAGACCAAAAACGCGCGCCCAAAAAGCACACAGTGCAAATTGTGAAGTGCGCGTAATCCGGAGCTCAAAATATGTTGCGCGCGATAGCGTTTTTCAGCGCACGCCCAAAAACTTTTAGCGCTACAGCTTCTGCTGAAACTGTTCGGCACCCAAAAAAACAACTTTTTAGTGCACGGAGCTATTTTTGGACGCCTGTTGAAGATGCTCTAAGCGAGCTGGAACTTGAAAGCAACCCAGTTGGTCATGATCATACTCCCTCCGTCCGAAAATACTTATTATTAAAATAAACAAAAAAGAATATATCTAGACGTATTTTAGTTTCAGATGCATCTTTTATTTATTTATTTTAACGACAAGTATTTTCGGATGCATGAGTATATGAGGAGGCGTGGGGAGCGTTCGAAGCATCAAACGTGCTTGCCGCTCGCATCCTATCAGGGACAAACTAGTCGGTGCAGAGTCGTGTTTGACGGCTACTACCGTAGATGTCAACCATTTCTATGCGTCAACATTTTCTCTATATAGTAGAGTGTGAACCAACTTGTGGTTGAGATGGCTAGATGGACAGTGGTATTTTCAACCCATCAGGGTTCAAATCCTGGTGCTCGCATTATTTCTGGATTTATTTCAGAATTTCCGGCGATGCGCTTTCAGTTGGAGGAGACGTTCCCGTCGACGATGAGGCGCCTACAGTGACTTTGTAAATCTCAAGATGATATGCCGGCTCAGTCTCTCGAAGGTGCTCATAGGGATAGGGTGTGCGTTTGTGTGTTCATAAGGGTGATTGTATGCACGTGTATATGAGCGCTTCTGTCTGTACTAATGCTTAAAAAAACATTTTTCCATATAGTGTTGCTAGTTCTTCTACTGAGATCTTGTCAGGACTTATTCTAACTCACCGGCCGTGGGATCAACGAAATCACTAATTAGAGGTTCGTGTTCACGATGCGTGCGTTCAAGTTGCACGCATAGGCTGAGAGCTCCTGTTCGGCGCCTGTTGCGCCCGAACCGCTTCCTGGCGCACGCTACAGCGCCCTGTTGGGCCGGCCCGTGAAAACAGTGTGGAACGAACCTGTAGCACAAAAAGACCCGCAAAAAAGAAGCCATCACCAGGAATCAAACTCGCGCTACTTAAGCAGAGTCTCAGACCCGCTAACCACTAGAGAAACTGGACATTTTTGACCAACATGAAGCACCAACCCTATAAGAGTAAGTGTGTTCGAGCTATTTATTGCACAATACCCTCTATTATAACACTTAATTTTTTAAATTATTTAGAAAAAATCGTGAATTTGAAAGGGTTCGTTGATTTCGAAAAAATCATTATTTTTTCAGAAAAGTTCACAAACTTAAAAAAAGGTTCATCGGTTTTGAAAAACAGTTCACCGGGTTTGAAAAAAGTTCATCAAATTTGAAGAAAAGTTCATAATTTTTTTTAAAAAGTTCGCAGAGTTTGGAAAAAGTTCATCAAATTTCTAGAAAACTTCATCGAGTTTGAAAAAAGTTCACCAATTTTTCAAAAAGTTCATCAAGTTTAGAAAAGTTCACAGAGTTTGAAAAAAGTTCATCAAATTTCAAGAAAAGTTCATCGAGTTTGAAAAAAGTTCACCAATTTTTTAAAAAGTTCATCGAGTTTAGAAAAAAGTTCATCGAGTTTAGAAAAAGTTCATCAAAATTGAAGAAAAGTTCATTAAACTTGAAAATGTCGTCGAATTTGAAAAAAGTTCAGCAATTTTGAAAAAGGATTATCGAATTTGATAAGAAGCTTATCGGTATTTTAGAAAAAAATCATCCAACAAGGAAGAAAAAAAGGTAAAAAATATAAGTAGAAAGAAGAATAGAAGGAAAAGATGTAGGTAGTCACCTAACGAATGGTGGTGGGATGGCTAGTGCGAGCTGGTTCTACGCAGGAGGTCGCCGGTTCGATGTCAGCTCAGCCGAATTTTTTGTTCCCGCTGGGAAACAGCAAAAACAGAAGGAAAAAAAGGCAGATGGGCCGGCCCAGCGTGGAGTGGGGGGTATGCGCCACTTTGCAAAAACGCCTATAACCGGCGCTAAAGGCGCCGAATAGGGTTTGCCCATAGGCTTGGGCTTTTTCTATTTTCTTCGTGTGGCCTTTTGTTTTGTTGTATGGGCTTTATTAATAGGTCATCAGGTCTTACATGCTAGTATTGTTTTCTTCATTTTTTTTTTCAGTTTTTGTTTTTATTGGGATGTTGTTCTGGCCCATTTTTTTTGGTAAATGCATTTAGTTGTACCATTCCGAAACTGCCTCACGTGAGGTTCCTACATGCCGGAGTTTTTGGTTTGATCTTCTTTTTCTCAGATTTCTTCAAACAAATATTTTTCCGTTTTCTATTTCCTTTCTAGTTTTAGTTTTATTTTTGTTTTTGTTTTTTCCTCTTGTGTTTCTTTTTTCTTTTTCTGTTTTCCCATTTCATATTTACTAAAGGATATTTGTTTCAATATACATGAATAATTATACAATTATGTGATTTTTACTATAAATAAATAAAAATACATGTTATATAAAGAATTCAACACTATTAAATATTACACAATTATTTATGTAATTTCTCTCATGCATAACTATAGTTGCCCACTCCTCGGTTGTGCGTAGTTGGATGTTCACCCCCAGTGTGCAACTCTTTAGCTAAATTGTTCAATATCTTTTTCCAATATTTTTGTTTTGTTCTCTTTTATTTGTATTTTAAATTTGTATCTTTTTTGCCTGGGTTTATTGATTTTTGACCCGCCCAAATGTGCCTTTTGTGTGTATGATATGGCCCTTTTTTTAATTTTAGTTATACACGAAGATTGCAAGTGTCATCCCTGACTGTAACTGCATGTGTTGACACAACAATAATTTAGCGATACTTGTGAGGAGGGAGGAGACTATTGCATCTCTGTCGCTAGGCACGTTGCGAGGCAGTCTCTGACTACAACCGCCATGTCTTCAAACATTGGCAGAGATGGCGGCCTCTGTGATTAAATTCCCCATAGGTTTCCCTTTATAATTTCTTCGAACTATAATATGTTGCATCACATAACTAGTAATTTGTTGTCACCTGAAGTGCGTTTACCATTCATTTCAAGGAGCTATAATCAAACAAAACAAGAAATACCAAAGAAAATAGGGTCAACCAATGGCCGCACACCTCATTCTCATATTTCCCTGTCTTAGTACTGAACTCACTGACCCAAGCCTTTCACTACTTTTTCCATCACACTTGGAATTTTGCTAGGTGTGTTCCTCCATACAAGATTAGCATACTCTGGATGATCGACAAAAGGATTTCGGTTGTGCTGGTAAAGGCTACAAACTCTATCATTCCGACGTTGCTCTGATCTCGATGGTGGATCTAGTTCATTCCATTGTATAAGAGCTGAAAGGAGACCCATCCTCCTCCTTTCTTAAATAAACAAGCAACAAATATTTGGCATTACTAAAGTGGCAATGCAATGTGATTGAAGTACGAAATAATTGATATATATCATGTATGCAGCTAATAATACATGTGTGTGTCAGGCCAATATATCTCTTATCTATATCTATACCAATATAAAAATCACCACTACCTTGAAATCTGAATGATCTTCTGCAGCCATCTTGCTATAACCAGGCAATTCTTAAATTTAGTTTTATTTCCCTCCCCCCACAATGTAGCCTTTTTGTTGACCCTCTGTACAGTGAACATTAATTTTTAATTTAAGAAAGCACTAGGAGCCTCTCCTGCTTCATTGTGTTGCTCAAAATGAGATGATTGGTGAGAATACTACTAATTTATCTCAGTTAGTAAAAAAATGTTATGAAAAAATGCACAAGATTTATGAACTACTTACGAATACTTGGCGAATCCGAAAGTTCCAAATGTGGAGCTGCATCTTTCTGTCCAGATCCATAGCTCACGGCCATGTACATCAGGGACCTAGCTACATCTCCACGCACCTGAAGAAAGTAAAAAAGGAAAACCCGGAAACATTGGTACTCCAAATTGTGAAACCTTACACGAACAATTGTTCTTCACATGGTCAAAGCTGATATAAGTCTACCAGTGGTATTCATGTGCAGATGTGCTATTGGACTTTCACCGGTTGCAGTTGACATTCCAACTAATTTGATATAATCTGAAACTTGAAACCCATTTTTAGAATAAGTCCCTCCTATTTATGGCACATAAGTGCAGTTCTCAGTTCTTGCAACTGAACATATTGCTAAAGTTGAATATTATAGGTCATATAAAATGTGACACAAATATGGATGAACAATCTGGATAGCACATGTGTGTTTCATTATTTGTGCAAAGGTTTTTAATACCTGAAAAGGGGGTGCCCATCTTTCACTGTCTGTTTCAGTGTCAGGTGCAGCTTCACGATTTGCTGGCCTCGAACATTTTTTTGACGTCGTAGCACATCCTCCATAATACTTGTTTCCCCTGGACGAATTCACTGAAACAGGATTTGTATATCCAGATAAGCATTTGTTTCTCCTCAAGCAAGAAAGTGAATCATTAACTCTGCCACTGATGGAGCACTGTTATCATACTGAAAGAGGAGTTCTCTATGCTCATGGGGTACTTCTGATCAATTATACAGTACAAACCAACTGACCATTAGCATCCGCAGGACGAATGTTGTGCAGATCGGTTAGAGAAGGACGGCGGGTTAGCCCGTATGATCGCGGCCAGAGGTGTTCTCCTACACAGCAAAATGCACACAATATGGCTAGGAAATAGCACAAAGAAAAGATGAACCCATCCTGTCTTGACAAGTCGAGCAAAATTTCAGAATGCAATTATGCAACTCACTGTTCCATCCATCCGGCTTGCCTGCTAAGATCTTCGGCACAGCTCTCTGTGAGTATATCTCGATGCTAGAACAAAGCACCGCAGCTTAAGTCAAGTGAGTAATAACGAAGAGCAACTGATATATTAGACTGTTATGGACTGTTGGAGAGACATACACTTCAGAGGACGCTTCTGGGTGGTCTGCATCAGCTGCATCCAGAATCTTGAGCGCCTCCCACACCTACTAAAGATCCATCCGTCACTTGTAATTCTTGTCTGTTCATTGCGACTCAAATGTATTTCATCAGTTAAGCGCGAAAGCAAAATAGCTAGAGGCAAACCAACATCTTTGTAGCGCAGTGAGGCGTGAGGCGAGACGACGGCGCCGAGCTTCGCCATCAGCACCTCACCGGACAGGCCCTCCAGGCCCCCGTAATAGCTCCTGACGTCTTCGCAGGGATACGGGGTACTCAGCTTCAGACGCTCGCCGACGGAGGAGGCATGGGCAGGGATGATATCCGGAGGACAGAGCACGAGCACGAGAGCGGCGGCAGTGGCGGCGAGCGCGCGGAGGCACCGTGGCACCCATGGCCGTCGGCTGGAGCGCGCGGGTCGCGGTGAGGACAAGACAGACCGGGCTGGTTCGGGGGTGGTTTTCTTAACGCATCCAGCGAGGGTTGGGCGGGAGACAGAAGGGAAGCGGATTGTTCTACCGTGGAGCGCGCCGGGAGCGGGGGAGAAGATAACGGCGGCGAAGGCCAACATTCCTTCGTTGCCGCCCGGGGCGGCTGCCGTTCAAAGGTTCCTGTATCTCGAAAATGTCCAAACTTCTAGTGAGCCATTCATTAATGACCAAAGAGATAACCTCCTTGAAAGAAAAACAGCCAAAGACAGAGTACTCCCTCCGTTTCATTATACAAGGTCACAAACTCAGATTACAGGCACTAAGATAAAATTTAATGACTGCTTTATAAGACAACCTTTTTACGTTAATCAGGATCATTAATACATATGCATGCATGCAAAAAAGAAATGGGAAGGAAGTAGCACATTGTCATTATGACTACATGCATGCAAGTATTAAATAAGTTGCTAGTACGAGAAAATATCATAAATTTTTGCCTCGATTACTGTTAATGGCTTTGTATAGATGCAAAATATATTTTTCATAGTGGCCCTGTATAAAGGAATGAAGGGAGTAGTAATAATCAAGAAGACAGTAAACAACGCAATATAGAAGACAATAGGGGGAAACGATCAGCAATAATAAAATTACTTTTTCTCGAATACGCACGAGTGTGTGTATCATATTATATAGAAGGGGTGGGTACAGAACCCAAATCCACCGTTGATATTACAACTTAGTACATCATGAGTCGAGCTCCCACATCTACTACTCCTCGAGGAGGAGATCCTATGGCTACCACTCATGTCGCACCCACCTTACTAGCTCTGCGGCCACTCCGTTCCAATCTCCCTTGATTAGGCCCGCCATACACCAAGTATTTCCCTCTTCCACAATCTTCATAATGAGCCTACTCAGCGAGGGGGAAGCGCCATCAAAGACGATGGCATTGCGGTGCTTCCACATCTCTCAAAGGACTAGAGTGATGATGAGGCGCATGTTCTTTGGCTTGTGCACGCACCAGTCCACCAAAGTTTCATGGCCCTTAGGAGTCCAGGACAGCTTGCCAATCGTGGTGCACAGCATTCTCCAGATCGTCCGAGCAAAAACACATGTTAGCTCGATGTGGTCAAGTGTCTCCTCCTGCTGGTCACAGAACGGGCAGGCATCCGGGTGCGGTAGGCCTCATCGAGCAAGTCGATCCGCCGACCAGCATCTGTTTTTCATGGCCAGCCAGAGGAAGAAACGACAGCGTACCGGTGCCTTGGATTTCCACGTGAACTGTGTTGTGGCTGACACCTCCCTTCCCGCAAACATTGCCGCATAGGCAGACTTGGCAGAGAACATACCATTAGTTTCCCAAGCCCAAGCCATGGTGTCCGGCACTCCCTCTTGAAAATTTACCTCCTGAACCCACAGCCACACGCGCAGATACTGCTTGAGAGCTTCGAGTCCTAAGTCTGGGTTTATATCCGTTGCCCAAATTCCTGTAACGACAACCTCTTTAAGTGATCTCAACTTCCTTTTGCGCAGAGGGACGGCTGCATATACTAGCAGTGTGAGCTCCTTGTTGAGGCAGAATCTTTCTAACCAGCGATCCTCCCAGAAAAGGGTCAGATTCCCATCCCCAACTGTTATCTTTGTCGCGGCATTACATAGGGCAATCGAGTCTTTTGGAGACCTTTATGTTGAACTCACTCCACGGCCTATGCTGATCCACACGCTGCAGCCAGGGCCAACGCGCCTACAAGGCCACGTTGAGCCATGCTAGATCTGGGATACCTAGACCGCCTGCCCACTTCGGTGTGCAAACTGTTGCCCAAGCAACTACGCAATTTCCAACATTTGCTTGACTCTTGCCACACCACAAAAACCCTCTGATGATCTTGTTAATGGCATGGATGGTCTTCTTCGGAATAGCGAGCGCAAGCATCGCGTGTATTGGAATAGAGCAGAGTATCGAAAGGACGAGGGTGAGTCTGCCGCTCTTTGGCAGTGTGGCCGCCTTCCACTTTGGCAGATGATACGTCTCCAACGTATCTATAATTTTTGCTTGCTCCATGCTACTTTATCTACTGTTTTGGACTATATTGTGCTTTATTTTCCACTTTTATATTATTTTTGGGACTAACCTATTAACCGGAGGCCCAGCCCAGAATTGCTGTTTTTTTTCCTATTTCAGTATTTCGAAGAAACAGAATATCAAACGGAGTCCAAACGGAATAAAACCTTCGGGAACGTGATTTTCTCACCGAACGTGATCCAGGAGACTTGGACCCTGCTCCAAGGAACAACCATGGAGGTCACGAGGGTGGGGGGCGCCCCCTGCCTCGTGGGCCCCCTGTTGCTCCACCGACGTACTCCTTGCTCCTATATATACCTATGTACCCCCGTCAGATCAAATACGGGGCCAAAAACCTAATTCCACCGCCGCAACTTCCCGTATCCATGAGATCCCATCTTGGGGCCTATTCCGGAGCTCCACCAGAGAGGGCATCTACCACGGAGGGCTTCTACATCAACACCATAGCCTCTCCGATGAAGTGTGAGTAGTTTACTTCAGACCTTCGGGTCCATAGCTAGTAGCTAGATGGCTTCTTCTCTCTCTTTGGATCTCAATACAATGTTTTCCCCCTCTCTTGTGGAGATCTATTCGATATAATCTTCTTTTTGCGGTGTGTTTGTTGAGACCGATGAATTGTGGGTTTATGATCCAGCTTATCTATGAACAGTATTTGATTCTTCTCTGAATTCTTTTATGTATGATTGAGTTATCTTTGCAAGTCTCTTCGAATTATCCGTTTGGTTTGGCCAACTAGATTGGTAGTTCTTGCAATGGGAGAAGTGTTTAGCTTTGGGTTCAATCTTGCGGTGTCCTTACCCAGTGACAGAAAGGGTTGCAAGGCACGTATTGTATTGTTGCCATCGAGGATAACAAGATGGGTTTTTTATCATATTGCATAAATTTATCCCTCTACATCATGTCATCTTGCTTAAGGCGTTACTCTGTTTTTAACTTAATACTCTAGATGCATGCTGGATAGCGGTCGATGAGTGGAGTAATAGTAGTAGATGCAGAATCGTTTCGATCTACTTGTCTTGGACGTGATGCCTATATACATGATCATATCTAGATAACCTCATAATTATTCGCTTTTCTATCAATTGCTCAACAGTAATTTGTTCACCCACCGTAGAATACTTATGCTCTTGAGAGAAGCCACTAGTGAAATCTATGGCCCCCGGGTCTATTCTCATCATATCAATCTCCATTACTTTATTACTTGCTTTGTTTTTACTTTGCCTTTTACTTTACACTTTGCATCTCTGTATCAAAAATACCAAAAATATTATTTATCATCTCTATCAGATCTCACCCTCGTAAGTGACCGTGAAGGGATTGACAACCCCTAATCGCGTTGGTTGCAAGTAGCTACCGTTTTGTGTAGGTACGAGGGACTCGTGCGTGATCTCCTACTGGATTGATACCTTGGTTCTCAAAACTGAGGGAAATACTTACGCTACTTTACTGCATCATCCTTTCCTCTTCGGGGAAATCCAACGCAGTGCTCAAGAGGTAGCAAGAAGAATTTCTGGCGCCGTTGCTGGGGAGTTTGCACAAAAGTCAACCATACCAAGTACCCATCACAATTCCTATCTCTCGCATTACATTATTTGCCTCTCGTTTTCCTCTCCCCCACTTCACCCTTGCCATTTTATTCACCCTCTCTTTCCCGTTCTCCTCTCCGCCTTTTTGTTTGCCTTCCCATTGCCATGGCCGAATCAAAAAGAACTAAGGGATTTCTCCCGAGTTCTAGTGCCTTGGATAACCCCTCTATCCTTTCTAAGCTCATAAACAATGATGCTACGGAAAGACCCACCGGGATCACCAATGAGAATTTAGATGATTTTGATGATGATGACTCCGGAATCTTTCGCTATTTACTTGATGAATCTTTAAAAGATGCTTGGGATAGGTTATTAAGGATTCGGGCTAGTTATGTGCCACAATATCAAATTGAGGTTTACTTAAAAAGTTTCTATGTTGGCTTGCCCGCTTCTTTCAAACAAGTTCTAGATTCTATTTTTGAAGAAGGTTTTCTTGAAGGGGATGCTATAGATACCTATGAAAAAATGAAAACCATATTTGGGCACCCTTTAAATGATAAAGTTGAATCAACTACCCTCTTGTGCTTTTATCAAAATGAAATTATCAAAGAGATGAAGTCTAGTTTAGAGGCAAATTTCTGTAACGTGCTTAATCTTACTTCTTCCATTAATGGGCATGTGCTTAAATTAAATAGGAGGATGAATGCCACTGAAAGGAGATCCTCCTCTCCGAGTGCCAAAGATGGCAAAACCTAGATCTATCCTCGCTTTTATGCCTAGCTAGGGGCGTTAAACGATAGCGCTTGTTGGGAGGCAACCCAATTTTATTTTATATTTTTTGTTTTTGCTTCTGTTTAGGAATAAATAATCCATCTAATTTCTGGTTAGATGTGGTTTTATATTTTAATTAGTGTTTGTGCCAAGTAGAACCTATAGGATAAGCTATGATGATAGTTGATTTGATTCTGCTGAAAAACAGAAACTTTGCGCTCACGAGAAAACATTCAATAAATCACAGAAACGTGCTTTTTCATTGATTCTTTTTGCTGCTGATCAATAAACAAATTGTCCAGTATGTACTATTTTGGTAGAATTTTGAGAGTTCCATAAGTTTGTGTTAGTTACAGATTGCTACAGACTGTTCTGTTTTTGACAGATATTGTTTTTCGTGTGTTGTTTGCTTATTTCAATGCATCTATGGCTAATAAATTAGTTTATAAACCATAAGGAAGTTGGAATACAGTAGGTTTAACACCAATATAAATAAAGAATGAGTTCATTACAGTACCTTAAAGTAGTCTTTTGTTTTCTTTCACTAACGGAGCTCACGAGATTTCTATTGAGTTTTGTGTTGTGAAGTTTTCAAGTTTTGGGTGAATTCTTTTGATGGATTATGGAACAAAGAGTGGAAAGAGCCTAAGCTTGGGGATGCCCATGGAAACCCCAAGATAATACAAGGACACCAAAAAGTCAAAGCTTGGGGATGCCCCAGAAGGCACCCCCTCTTTCGTCTACTTCCATCAGTAATTTA